TCTCTGGCATCTGGTAATTTTCCCCACATGCATGTGCTAATAGCACATGAATACTTGAGGGGCACAAATCAAAATCATGTTTCTCCCTCTACAACTCTCTCCTTTTTAGCGCTTTGCCCTGTTAACTCTAATCTTCCACAACTGTTTTCTCTAATTGGCTCAGAAAGTCCACTGTACTTCTCTTGAGTGTTCCCTGCCCTGCAGCCTGGAAACTCTCTCAGGGTGATAAACTAGGGCAATTTTAAGCAAGTTCTTCTAGATGGTCTTATGGTCGGTCCACTGTTTACGTATCTATTAGATTCTGTCTCACAACGGGATTCGCATTGTTATGTGTACTTGTTTTCTTTCACTATGAGCATTTGATTTAGACAAAGCCTCACATGGCTGATAACAACTATTCTCAATCTCTATTTTTTAATTTTTATTTTTATGTTTATAATTTTGTGAAAACTAAAAATAGTAATATTTTTCTCATAGTGGAATGAAGTTTAAATTTGATAATACATATAAAGTGCTTTGCATAGTGACTAGAACTTAGTTAACAATCAATTAGCATGTATTTTAATATATTATCATCAACGGCCCATGCCCAGGTACTATTAATGGCAGGTTGGATGTCTCGGATTGAGGAATGAACGAAGATGAGCAGGTGCACATGTGGAATCAAAATAAGGAGAGTTAGATTTATCCATATCTAGGTTAGGAATGGTTTAGGCTTCTCCTTTAAGTTATTAGGCAATGTTGCAAGAAGCAAACATTTTTATTTCAATCAGAAACAGTAGTAATAAGAGGTAAGTGGATTTCATTTCTAGAATTTTATGAATTTAATCAGATGTGATGTTATTAAATATACCAATATATTATAACAGCAGCGATTCTCCTTAGATATACTTGTGCAAATTCACATTAAATACTATTAGATACAGATGTGGATAGATAACATGTGATCTATAAATATATAGATACATACATCTATACATTTTTGCTTAAGAAATCATTCCAACTAAAGCTGATAATTAATATATTTGCAAATTAAGTTAGAATAATAGATAACAGTATACAGGGTATCTAGAAGAGCAACATTCTGATCTAGACTAGTTCAGTGTTTAGAAATCTTCAAGAGAATCATTACATTTTCCTCTAACTCAGGGTAATTCCTTGTGTGGAACTTGTATATTTTTTGGTAAATAAGGAGGTACCTGAAGTTACTGCTTTAACTCAATTGATATTTGCATATATGTTTGTATCTGTAAATGGACAACCAAAAAAGCAGAACTGATAGGAGGTACGTAAGAGATTTGTTGCAAATAATTGTCTTACAAAATTATGGGGCTGGATAGACAAGTCTCAAATCTGTAGGACAAGCTGTCAAAAAGGGGGTGCTGAAACTCATAGCCCAGGCAGAAGCAGCTGTCCACAGGTGGCATTTCTTCTTCAGGTAACCCTCATCTCTGATTTTAAGGTTCATCAGTTAATTGATTCAGGCTTATCCAGATTATTTAAGACAATCTCTCTTAGTAAACGTCAATTTTTATGAACATTAATCCAATTTACAAAATACCTTTCATAGCAATACCTAGATTTATGTTTGCAAGACTAACTGGAGGCTATACCCTAGCCAAGTTGACACATCTAAAAGACATATTAGCGGACACGAGACTAGAAAGCTAAGGGTTTTGTTAGTCCTGTATGCACCTGAGCTCAGACATTCATAAATCATTTACCCTAAGGTAAAATGAAATAAATAGAATTGTAAATAGTGACTCTGAGGAGTCACTGTTAGTAACTAAAGAAAGAGTTATGATCTAATTGCTAAAAGGCTAAAGGTCATTTTTGATTTATTTTCCCTCTGATTTTGTAAGAACAAAGCGATAATGGAAATTTGGCTTCTCTTAATGCGATGCTATTATTCAAATATCACTCTCCAGTAACTTATTCATTAACTGTGGGAGAAAAATAATTTAAGTGTCCTCATATTGTATACCACATGCATCAAAGATCAGTTCACCTCATGGCTACCAATTAGGACAGGTAATTGTCTAGTAGTAATTGGAAAAACCTTAGCAGGTACATAAAATAACAGAGCTGTAAAGTACTGCTCTATGTAGCAGTGATATGGATTACTGCTACAGGAATAGAGAAATACAAAAAGTATCTTAGAAACACATAGAATGGAAATGAGAACTACATTTACAGAAAACCTTTTCCCCAATCTGAATATGTAAATTATATTAAGAGAAAACATTTAGTAATGTCACCATGGAGCCCAAGATATGAGACTGTGATTACAAAATTAAATCTCTTGAGTTTGTTTTCCTTTTTCACATAAACTCTTCACTTATTAAACCTGATTGTCACAGCACCCCAATACACCACTTTCAGCCTAGATTTTTTACCCTGTGGTATTTAGACAGGTAGCATATCCCTGTATATGCTTCAGACGTGTTTCTGAAAGAATATTTCAATTTTGTATATGTGCATATCTGTGTAGCTATTCTGGGGCAAGGGTTTATCATTTTCTTTTGATTCTCAAATATTTTATTATCCTAAAATGATTAAGATGCACTCTGGACTTATAGCTAGGCAGTTGTAATTAGAATCCAAATACTGAAGTTCAAAGTCCCTATGTCATAGGGTGTGTTTTCATGTCTCTGAACTTTACTTCCTCATCTACAAAATTAGGATAAAAATATTTTCTTGAAAAGGCTTCCTCATGAATAATAAATGAGATGACGAATAAACGAAGTTTGTAGATTTCAAAGTGTTTTGCATAAGTTAGTTTTACTGGTATCTTTTTAAGAGTGAAAAAGCAGGGTCTTCTATCTAAGAACTCTTTCTAACAGCCTGGAAATACTACACAGCCACCTTGAGAATCAGGTAATATCAATGCCCCACTTGTTTGAATGTAGGCTGTGCTTCAGTTTTAACAGAGGCTGCTTACATCTTCCCTTAGCAGGGCTAAAGAAATACCTGAGTTAAAATGTAAGTAGCCTCTGATCATAATTTCCGAAATTTCATATGCTCTTTTAAAGTTTTTAAAATGTTTCTACAATTTTAATCTTGTGTTGTTTCTAGAGTTTCCTTCCTTTTATTACCTCATAATTCGTCAATATCTTAATTACCTAGGGTAACAGAAATAACTTAAAATTGCACTGTCTCACCAGCTTCATTCATGGCCATGAATTCACGTTCAGGAATGTATTTTCCCCAAAGAGTATAACTATAATCTCTCAGTTCTATCTTTAAAAATAATCTCTCTGCTGGCATACTGCCAGGAGACCCCAAGGAGATTCCCACAATCAGCAAATCCATCCAGAAAAACCAACTATTCTACCCTTCCCTGCTGAGCCACACCCTGAGCCACGTTTGCCAATCTTACACTGCTGCTTTTCAGTCTCCCTGCTGTGATGCTGCAATTCGGGTCTCCTCTGGGCCATCCACAGGCCCCAGGTGCCAACAACTCTGCCACTGCTGTGGTTGATCTTCATTGCTCTGTTCTTGGATGGACCTCTGTCAAATCTTGGGGACCTGTGATTCCAATCTGCTGGAGCCAGCACACTTCACACTTTTTTGTGAAGTAAAATGGGAAACAACACACTTCCTTCTCTTACGATGGTCCAGGAGAAGGGCTCCTTTAGCCTCACAGTGCTGCAAAATTTGAAGCATCTCTTTGCATTTTACTTACAGCCTATGGTTCCCCCGGGTACAAATGTATCCACCAGTACAGATTCAGGAAACAGACATCATGTTGTAATTTCAGATACCGCTTTTGAGTGTCAATTTCTTAGACTTGCATAAAGAGACAGAATCAGTTAGATTTAAATAAATTAGGTATAGACATAAATCTATATTTGGATATAGTTATGTAAGATAGTTATAGCTATACATATAGATGTGTGTGTGTGTGTGTATCTGGGGAATGTTTGGGGAATGTCAGGGAATGTGTGATACCTGACTCCACCCACCAAACATACCCATATTTGTCTCCAACGCAGCTGGGACTTGCTGTAGCACAAATGTACATAGATGATGGATAGATAGATGATAGATTAGATCGAGATACATAGACATTTATAGATATAGATGATTGATAGATAATAGATTCGATAGATAAAAAATTTTAAAAATCAAGGCCTACATTTTTTTTTCATAGCTCAAAAAGAGAGAGAGAAGAGAAGAACTTGAGTACAGAGTCAAAAATTTCCATAGACATTTCCATAGACCATGGGTCCTGAGAATAGCACAGCTCTGCTGTGGTTCTGAAAAATGAATCAAACTCAAGAAGCAAAAAAAAGTATTCTAAAGTCCCACTTTGTTGTTCAACAGCTATTTATTGACCCAGTATCACTGTTCTGTATTACTGGCTGGAAACACCTCTCTATAACTTCTCCCTTCAGAATATTAGAGAAAAATGCATGTGCTTGCCTGTCACAAACACACTCAGACTATGTCTATTACACTCGTTTTGGATCATATGAATTCCCACACCCATGAGTAAATACCTATAAACTTTAAATCAAATTGAGATGGAAATGTGAAGTTGTTATATTTTTTCACCATAACTTTATAGATTCTGAATTGATGCTCCTTTTTAATGACCACTTTATGAACTAGATGAAAATAATATAATGGAAAGGATAAGCACTATGTGGGTAGAGGCTATGATAATATCACAAAGTTTGATCACCAAAAATACCCTAAAAGCAATGTAAGTATAACCTCTCACCAGCACAAAACAAGCAACGACAAAAGACTTCTCTTAAATTGTCTAAAAGGTCCACCACTTTCCTCCTCTGATGGTAGCCCATATTTCTAAACAGTCTACGTGACATATCTTTTTTCTCAATGTTCCCAATCCTGCAGCTCTTTAATTTTTCCTCTTTAAATTTTCCACACACATTGAGTCTACTCCTTTCAAATGATAAGTTCACATGATAGCCTTTCAAATCCTTGAAGACAGGTATCCTGGGCCTCCAGAATGTTATCTTCTCTCTCAGCTGTTCCAGAGAGCCTCAACAGTATCATTACATCTATGAAGACACAGTTAAGTTTGTCAATAAACCTCTTAAAGAGAGTGATTTAGATTTTTATATCTACTACTGTGAGTCCTTGAGGGCACACACCATGTATATTCGTCTCTGGAGGCCCAACACATCTGACCGCTAATAAGCAATGAACATATTTGCTGGATGAACACATGAATTTAAAAAAAGCCACTTTCAAAATGTCCTTCCAAAAAAATGTACTTCTAATATAAATTAGGTTTAGCCATTTACTTTACTATATATTAACATTTTATCATCCAGGTTTAGTTGCCAAAGAAGTGTTAAGGCAAACAACAAGTAGAAATGTGAGTGAAGTTAGTTTCTTGGGAATAAAAGCTTATGAAATTTAATATGTGAGCTTCAATCTTTACCTGTCTGTGGCATGGGTGGTGTTTGTGCTAGTGGTGAAATGGCTTGTTTTCTAATGAAGCTTTTGGTGAATTTTGTTTTTTAAGCGTTGCAGGGATTTTACCAAGTGAGACCTACGTTGGCATTAGAATTTATAATAGATACTGAAATTAGGATGACAGAACAAAACAAAGAAAGAAAGAGGCACTGCCTCTCCTCAGTCCCAGCCCCTCAACAAGGACTCCAGGTGGGTGGGAAATTTACCCCAGATAGACACAAACTATCTGGGATTTATCCTGGCAAACATGTTGATTCTCAGCATGGAAAGATGATTTGGGTGAATACTTGACAGCGACACTCCAATTTTCTCAAGCCTTAGGGGGACTTGTTACAAATACCTTGAGAGAGGCAGCTGTAAGAAACTGAGGGTGGGCCTAATAGATTCCTTCTAGTATGTGCCAGGGAGCAATACACAAAACTGAACGAATGGAAACACTCAGCAGGAACCCCAGTAACTTTTAACACAAGTGAGCCAAAACATCTCTCCTTTTCTTCCAAAAGCAGCCTGTGCTGTGATGTGCATAATTTTAAGGGACATTTGTGCTAATGATCTTGGTAGGAATAGCAATAGTCATGTTACCACCTGGTGGCCAAGTGAATGATGGGTCACAAAGTTGACCATCAGAAGATAGCAAAGATAAGCAAACACAGGCTAAACTGGAGGGTGTGTTCATGGTCTTCTAAGGACTCATGCAGGCATTTCAGGACTAGAAAAGCTTGGAGGATCACGCAGTGATTCACCAGGATAGAAACTCAAGAGGTAAAGGCCTGTTCCAGTTTACATTGGTGCTTCTAGTCATGGATTGTGCTGGAGCTGCCTATGTATACAAGATTACACAAGTAACAATAGATTATATAGAGAGAGTTCAGTGAAATAGAAAGCACAATAGTGGGCCCTATTTGTTTAGGAATTATATCTCTGATAAAGGATGTTAAACAAATACTGAAGAAAGAAAACATGATTCACTGAGGAGTATAGAAGTAATGTGTAATAAGTTACAATGAAAAATATTCAATTTCTACATTAAATTTGCTATATCTCACAATGGAAAGCAAGAAGAGCATCATTCAATAAATATTTACTGAGCAATTACTAAATGCCAAAGTGTTCAGCAAGATCAGGAAACAGCAATAAACAGAGTTCATAAAATCCTGCCTTTGAGGCGTTTACATTCTAGTAGGGAGAAGCAACCAATAAGGAAGTAAATAAGCAAAATCTGTAATATGTAAGGGATGAATAATGCTGAGAATAATGATAGTGCAAGTAAGGAGAACAGATAATTTGTATGTACAGGGTGGTCAGGAAATACCTTTGATTTTGAGATATGAAGAAAATGTAAAAATGAACCTTGGTATGTATTAGTCCATTTTCATGCTGCTGATAAAAACATACCTGAGACTGGGAAGAAAAAGTTTAATGGACTTACAGTTCCATGTGGCTGGGGTAACCTCAAAATCATAGCAGTAGGCAAGGAGGAGCAAGTCATGTCTTACATGGGTGGCAGGAGGTAAATAGCTTGTGCAGGGAAATTCCTTCTTATAAAACCATTAGGTCTTGTGGGACTTATTCACTGTCATAAGAACAGCAGGGGAAAGACCTGCCCCCATGATTCAATTACCTCCCACCAGGGACCTCCCACAGCATGTGGGAGTTCAAGATGAGATTTGGGTGGGGATGCAGCCAAACCATATCATCTGGGTTAGAGCATTTCAGGAAGAAGAAAAAGCAAAAGACTCACATTGGAGCATTTTTATATTGTTTGATGAACAGCAAAGATGCCACCTCAGCTGGAATAAATGGATACAGGAGCCGACCGGTAAGAAATGCAGTCAGTGATGTATGAGTGGGTGGCGTGAAAAGCATGTAGCCATTGCAGGCCCTGTGAGGATTTTGGGGATTACTCTGATTGCGAAGGGTAAACACTGAGATTGTAAGACTGAGGAGTAGACACTAAGGAAGAAGAAGAAAGCAAGTGGGTGTCTTATAAATCAAAAGGAGCAAATGTTTCAAGAAGAAGAGGCTTAAATGTACAAATATAGTCAGAGGAAAAACTCACATAAAATAGTCGAATGTGTTTATTAATTCTGTGGGGGAAAATGATAACTTTCTTAACCTTGAAATAATAGAATAAATCATATACTTAGTTTTGATGGCACAACAATTTAAAACTTCTAGGGATGTCTTTAAAATAAAATGTAAAAAAAATTGTTACATCAAATACAACAAAAGAGTCATAAATAATAACATACAATTTACTAGTTCAGAGAAGGAGAAATAAATTGAGACCCAATAACAGATGAGTAATATAAGTTGACAAGAAATGTGAACTGAGATAAAATGAATTGAAATCTACTTGTGATTTCTATTTACTGGAGATTAAAAGACAATGAAGAAAGCTCTTATTCTGGAGCAGGTAACTTTATAATGATTTAGAGATTTCAGCTGAGGGAATATTTTCTGAATTTCTACAATGTGCCATGTATTACATTAGATGATGAGGGTAAAGAAACAAGCAGAAAAAACTGTGTATAAACAACTAGTTTTTCACAAACACATAAAAAATACTGTAACTCATTAACTCAAAAGTTAAGCTAAGTTTAAATGTATTTTTTTCCTACAAAATTAACAATTTAAAAGATGACCACACCTATTTCTGAAATAAAAATATGTATGGGAAGTAGGTATGTGAATAAATGTGTGAAATAGGTGTGTGAAATTATAAATATGCTTTCCAGAATCATCATTTACTAAATTCATCTACTGGTCACTAGCTGTATAACGCTGGGTGAGAATTTAACCTCTCTGTTTTTCATTTTCCTTATGTGTAAATTGGGATAGTAATAGCATCTATATCTTGTTTTGCTGTGAGTATTACAGTAAGTTCATTTAAAGTGTCTGCACACAGTGGACACTTAAATATTACCTACTGTTAATATCATTATAACAATATAAAATTGAAACAATTTAAATTTTTTATTCCAAGCTATGCTGATTAAAATGGTAAAATAATTCATTAAAATTATATGTATAATAGAAAATGTGGAAATTTCTACCCATTCATTAATCCATCCATCTAGACACCCATATGTACATACATAAAGCTTTTATATGACAGATACTGTTAAAATATTTCTATTATAAGCTTTCCTTAAGTAAAAGAACCCTGAATTTGTATTTTCAACTCTCCAACCTTTCTAGATTATGGCATGACTTTGTATAGAATGCAAGTAAAATGGAAAGAGATATTTCTCTATATAGAAAGATGGTAGAAATTTAGGCGCTGTCACCTCAATCCAACTAGCATGAGAGACAGGTGTGAGAAACTAGGAAGCATACAAGAGTGATGGGTCAGCAGTGAGAGGTACAAGAAGATGCTAGTAAGCTGATACCAAAGAGAGAAAATGGAAAACAAGAATATACCTCAGAAGAGGATGCAGTTGGTGAAAGTTTAGATTACAATAGCTAACTCTTCGATGTTGTTTTATATCTTGCTTTGTGCTATGCAGAGTGTATATTCCACAACTTTCATCCCTGCTTCTAACCAACATAGCTCTGTATTAGTGCTGCGTATTGCACGGTAACGGAGATGGGCATCGGATCCATGTTTGGATCAGTATGGAACAGAGGGGAATGCCATGAGGGAGGCAAAATATAAGAGGCTTCAGATTTGACCTGTTACAGGGAATTGGAGTAAATGCTAAACATTACATAATTTGCAGAACCTCTGAGAAGCAACTGAAATTCCTTCTTTTTGGACAGTATGTCTAAGCTATTTTATTAATAATTAAAGCATAGAGACTTCCTATATATCTGGAAGACTGAGGCAAAGGGGACATTCACAAATATCCAGTGAACATTTTTGTAAGTTCTTACATGCAGATGAGCATGTGTAGAGGAAGCATTCCTAACTTTGGAGGTGAGATGAGGAGACTTGGGAAGTGTGTCTGAAGACATGGTGACATTGAAATACTTTAAAAAATAGGAATTACTCTGAGGAAAAAATAGTGTATTTATGTCATGGAAATAACATGAACAAAGACCCAAAAACATGAGAGAGCATAAAGGATTTTGAACGCTATGCTTTATCTAAATAGCTTATCATAACATCATTCTGATTTGTTTTATGGGAAGATTAGAATCCAAGACTATTATTATTAAAATTGTAAATTTAAGTCCCATAGAGATAAAGACTTGAAAAAAAATGTTCCTGGAAGTGTCAGGTTACGTTATTTCTATGCCAAATTGAAAGACTGTAGGCAGTTTCTTTTACACTATACTCTATGCTTTTTCTCAGGTAATAAGTAGATTTGAGAGATAAAATCACTTGTTTTAGACTTGGTTTTACAAACATATTTTCACATGTTTTAAGCTTCTTTGGTTGTAAAGCATTAGTCTGCCTCTAATCAATGTAATGTGCTGATAAAACAAACATTTTATGAGAAAAAACATTTGTACGTAATCTTTTATTTTTATTTGTAAAACAATAAACAACAAGAAACTTAACAGGAAAGGAACAGGTAAAAGGAAACCTTTTAAGCACCTCAGGCACTCTAAATA